CGATCTGGGGGGGTTTGGTCAGCTTTTCAAATGGATGGTTTTCTTAGTATTGGTTCTTTTTTTTTTTTCTAAATAAATGTAAGGGCTCCCTTTTTCAGGGCCAACTCTTAAGAAGTTATTTGGGATATAAACGCGTTCTAAATGCTTGTACTGTAGGAGATAAGCTAGTTCCCATAAAAAAGGTTTTATCTACTAATTGAGTTTCACTGTTCTTTTTAAGGGCTGCACAAAGATGTTCAGGGACAACTCTGCCATGAGGAAGCATCTGCACACTCATGGCCCTCGAGTACACGTATGTGCAGAATGTGGCAAGGCTTTCGTGGAGAGCTCAAAACTAAAGCGACATCAGCTAGTTCATACTGGAGAGAAACCCTTTCAGGTATTGGTAACCTCCAGACATATGTACCACAATTGATTTGATAAATGTGTGTAGACTGTAACTCAACCTAGCTTCCATATGACTTTAGGGATACTATGTCTTTTTCTAAAATCAGATGAGGCACTGAATGATCACCTTAAAAATCAGAAGTCCCCTTAAGCTATTTAGGCTATTGTTTAACTATTTCTGTGGGCTTTTGTTAGAAATTAGCAATTGTGTATACATGGGAGATACTTCCCAAAATATGATGTAAAGTTACTCGCTTTAAAAACAAAGTCTGCAGTTACTACTGAGTGAGGAAAATGGTCTCTTTCTCCTCCTCATCTTTTCAACTTAGCACTTGTGGACACTGAGACTCAGTGCTGTTTGCTCGGTTGACTCATGGTACTAATTTTGAGTAGTGGATATTAATCAGTTTTCATGGTGGTAGTCACTGAATCTTTTTCCATTCATACCAAGTCACGTGAGCTTCTGCCACCAGAGGTCCCCTGCCTACTTCCTGTGATACTCCTTATGAGTCTTCTTTACAGATATTCATAGTCTTGAGCATATCCGTGTTCTCCAGTACATGTGTAAGATGGGTACTTTCTGTAGATTTTTGTTTTTTAAAATAAATTCTTTCAAAAATTTGATTTGCAGTCCTTTGGCATTGACTTAGATGTGTATGCTGGATCTGCTGTGTTGTAAATATAAGTATTTACTGCTAAACGTTCTGCCCCTTGTATTCCAGCCCCATCTTAAAAGTAAAGCTGGTGAAATGAGCGAATGGTCACCGAAAGGGAGAAATTCTGACCTGAAACATTTTTTCTGTTTTCTAGTACAGCCTAGCGAAATCCTGGTTTAGATGTAGAGAAAGGTGGTTTTAGTGAAGGCATTTGCTTGCAACCTGGAAGTTATTTCCCTCTTTGAAAATAGATACACTACTGTGGTAAAACAACCTGAAGTATTTGTTTTATTTTTCGTGCGCTTTACAAGTGATGTCTACAACTTCACCTATAGCAGCCTTTAGCGTCTTGGCTTCGTGTTTCTCAGCCTAGTGATTTAAAGAAGAATATTTTAATCAAGGCTGGAAATGAGTTCTGTTTTGTTAGCTAACGGAGTCTGTCTTTTCCTTTCAACAGTGTACATTTGAAGGATGTGGAAAGCGTTTTTCACTGGACTTCAATTTACGCACACACGTGCGAATTCATACTGGCGACAGGCCCTACGTTTGCCCATTTGACGGCTGCAATAAGAAGTTCGCGCAATCAACTAACCTGAAATCTCACATCTTAACACACGCTAAGGCCAAAAACAACCAGTGAGAGTTGGAAGAGAAAGTTCTTGAACTCAAAAACATCTTACAGGAGAATGAATTGAAAATAAATACGCCTCCCCTTTGTATATTGTTTCTAGGAAAGAATTTTAAAAAAAGAACCCTACAAACTTAAAAGGACGTGTTTTGATAAGTAGTAAATAAAAAGCAAAAAAAAAACCAACAAAAAAAACTTTAAGGTGACATTGCTAAGATGCTCTACCTTGCTCTGTAACCCCGTACAACACGGTGTTTTGTAAAGTGTGGCCCCAACTGGAGGGGGTCTGTTCACGAACTTGCATCAAAAAAGACAATTCTTTATACAACAGTGCTAAAATTGGACTTCTTTTCACATTCTTATAAATATGAAGCTCACCTGTTGCTTACAATTTTTTTAATTTTGTATTCCAAGTGTGCATATTGTACACTTTTTGGGGATATGCGTAGTAATGCTATGTGTGATTTTTCTGGAGGTTGATAACTTGCTTGCGGTAGATTTTCTTTAAAAGAATGGGCAGTTACATGCATACTTCAAAAGTATTTTCCTGTAAAGAAAAAAAAAGTTATATAGGTTTTGTTTGCTATCTTAATTTTGGTTGTATTCTTTGATGTTAACACATTTTGTATAATTGTATCGTATAGCTGTAATGAAATCATGTAGTATCAAATATTAGATGTGATTTAATAGTGTTAATCAATTTAAACCCATTTTAGTCACTTTTTTTGGAGAAATACTGCCAGATGCTGATGTTCAGTGTAATTTCTTTGCCTGTTCAGTTACGGAAAGTGGTGCTCAGTTGTAGAATGTATTGTACAGGCACTGACCTTTTATTAACACCTGATAATATGTACATCCCGTGTAATAGAAAGGGCAACAATAAAACAGTGGTCCTAAAGAAAGAATATGGCAGAAAATGATCTGTAAGCACAGTCTATTTTCTTTTGTTGTCCAGAGCAACCCTAGTTCCTCTTGACCTCCCAGAAATTGGAAGCTAAATAAACTCAAGTTTCCTTTACTTTACATTCAATTGCAATGATTTGTGGTGAAATTAGATAATGCCACACATGAGGTGGTTTACCCAAACAGAATTGGTGACTGTAATTCTGGTTTTGAGTGACCTAGACTTCCACTAACCGGAATGGTGGATCTGGTGACCTGGCAGTGTGGTGGGGAGTTTTCAGTGTGCCTGGACAGCAACTGGGTAAAGCAGTAGAGGAAACAGCTGAATGGGCACCTTTCTTTAGTCAGGGTAAGGAATCTTGGAGGTTTAAATGCAATAACAATAGAAAGTTGGGGAACAGTAGGATTTGAGTGGTCATATTGGAAAAAAAGAAAATTGTCTTTTGACTGGCTTGTTTGACTGAGTGTAATGATGACAATTGTTGGAACTTCCCTGGACATCTTTGACTTCAAAACAGGAACTCAAGAGTTCTCAGAGAACTTGATGGGGTTTTGATGGTGTAGCTAAAGGTGGTTACTACTCGCTTGTTCAAGTGTTCAAAGTAAGAAATTTGCAGATACTATAGTAAAATGTTATGGATTAATAAACATAATATGCACAGAAATGCATAAGTATTACTTTTTAGATGGATGTGACATTTTAATATAGTAAAAACTGTTGTTAATCTTTTTTTTCTGAATTCTGTTCTTAAAAGGTTCATCATATTTTTCATTGCTAATACCGTAAAACTTACTTTTGAGTCCGGCTTTGGTGGTAGTGGAAAAAACATGGGCAATAATGAAACTGCACTTAAGAGCAAGGGAACTTTCATCTGTACATAAGTTATTCTGTACACTGCAGCTCTAGTCTGAGGTTATTAGAGGTAGAAAGAAAAAGGGGGCATTTAATTGTAAAGTATGCATTAGAATTTTGGCAGTATTTTTTTTATATAAGCAGTTCTTGAACAGGACAGTAAACTGAAACTTGTATAGTTATAGTTAAATTAAATTCTGTGTACAGTTAAATTAGTGTATATTCTTTTTGGAAGGAAATAAAATCAGTTCAGTCTAGTTCTAATTGACCCTACTTTTTTTTTCCCTTAAACAGTGTATATGATGGTGTTAGGCTTGCACAGAAGTTTGCTTTCTATGTCATAGCGTGGTACCCGTTTTACTGAATTGCAAAGTAAAGAGATCCCTTGATGGTGTCAGTACTTCATCCTTGAACGTACATTGGAGACTAAATTATTTCTGTTAAACACCAATTTGAGGATTAACTGGAAACTGAAATGTGTATCACCCCTAGTTATATTGCACCCGGTTATGGAGAGAGAGCTGAAAAATTTTCATCTAGGCCTCAAAATAGCAGCATTCGATACACTCCTGAGTGTGAGCAGCAACACTTAGTACCATGAAACATCTGGCTTTGTATCTAATTAATTGCATATTGGGTATGAATAAATACGTGCATCGAGCAGCTTGTGTAAGTTATTTAAGCGCTTAAAGTATAATTGGCACATCTTGTTCTTAAAACTTCATGCTTAGTTGATTCCAGAGTTCTCCTTGTGGATTTTCAGTGAAGAAATTGCAGGCTTTGAGAATGGAGCCCACCGTTCCAGCCCACTGCTGAGGAGTTCCCGCGTCGCACTGCCGAATTGTGAGCAAGTCCAGGTAAGGGGAGGAGAGTCTGAGGGGTGGGGGAAATGGAGCCACTGGTTTTAAAGCTGGCAAAAGATGTAAGTGCTTACTCGTGCCTGTTCTACTGCTCATTTGGTCTTAGATTTCGTATTTCCTTAGCTGGTTCTCCTGCCCTTCAAATGGAAGGAGGCAAACTCTGTTGGAGACTGACTGTTTTGGTTGTTTTTTTAAAGGTAGACCTGACTAGAGATTTTTTCAGCTGTGTCTGTCTGTGGTCTGCCAGTAGCACTCAGTCCTGCTTTAAATCCAAGACGAAGTGAATTTGAATACCTATTACTTCTGGAGATTGTTCTTATTGAAAAGGTTTTAGGAGAAGCCCTGATACAGATTCGAAACGTAAAGTGAATAAATCCTTAGTGAAATGGGACTGAGAACTCCTTCCTCCCTACCAGGACCTCAGCTGAACTTGAATTTGACTTGAGATATCTTCTTTTTGAAGACACTCACTGTTGAGTTAAGGTAGTGCGATTGGCCACTTCTTTTTCCCCCTACATTGGCCACAAATTGTCAGTCAACAAAGCCAAATGCTAAACACGCTCTAAAAACGTAGCTTGTCAGCAGTAATGTGGTTTTAAAGGCAGGTGAGATCCCTTCCCTCTGCTAATTCCACAGTAAGTAAAAAGCAAAAGAAGCAAGAGTTAACAGAAATGGCAAAATTACTGAGCCTTTAAAACGTTTGAAGAAAGCTAATCCCTTCAAAGTGCTAGATGAAAGAGGAAATGGCAGTGGTGGGGAAGAGGTGTTTTCCACTTGGTCATCACTGGCCGTAGGGTGTTCATGGGATATTTTATCAGTACCTGCCTTGGGGAAAAAGAGGAATGATGAGTCTTTCTGCTTGATTAAGATGGACAGACTGGAGGACACTATTGCACATTCTTCAAAATGCAGTTCCTTAATGCCTTGAAGAAATGGAGAAAAATCAGTATTTTTGTCAGGGCTGCTAGACAAAACAGTGGGAAGCCTAGTCGAGTGGTAGCTGTTGCTGAGTTTGGTTGATCCAGTTGTTCTATAAAGATGGCACTTTGGAACAAGAAGTTTTCCATCTGTACAGCAGCGTTTGTGGGTCTGTCACAGGGGTTGGGGGAAGAGGAGGGCAGTGAACACTGCATTAAGCTTTGACATCTTAGTGACTGCACTAATGTTCCCGTATTGCTTACAGCTATGGAGAGAGCAAAGGTCCTTCAAAAGCTACAGATCTTGGGGTGTTAAGTGGAGTGTGTAAAATATAGCACTTTCCTTGGGAAGAGTGAAAAGGTTTCTTCTATCAGCCTGATGTGGCAGTCCCAGGGTGAAAAATGGGAGAGTGACGTGAGGAAGAGGGTGAGAGACCCCCCTGTAGAACACAACAAGCAGAAAAATCTACACAGTGATCTGTAAAAGTGCAAACTAGAGGAGGAACGCACGTGCTTGTGTTGCCACAAGACTGGGTGTTCATCTTGATCACACAAATTGATCTAGTGCAAAGTTGCAAGAGGCTAAGTGTGAAGATGGGTTTACAGCAATGCTTAAATACCACCGGGATGGCTACTGGCTTCATTCTGTAAGGTAATTTAATTTCAGTGGTCCTTTCCTCAATTTGGCTCTTACGTAAATTAAACCAGTTTAGGCAAATTTATGTGTGCTCATAATCATTCCATATTATTAAGGCAATTTTGCTTAGAATTTTTTTTAAGTCGCTTTGTTTCTGTGGAAGTAATCTGGAGAATATTGAATTTCCTTTTGGAAAAAGCACTTAGACATGATCCATATAAGTGATCATGTGAATTTTTCAGATGCTGGCTACAGTAGCAGAAAACCCATGTTTTGCTGTAGGCAAATGAGCAAGGTCACTTCCAGCAGCTGTTTTTTAGACAACTCTGGTTTCAGGGTTTTCTTAAGTCTTGTGTTATTTTTTTCCTAACAGAAAAGCTTCAAGATCGGCTGGATGCTGGTTGGACACCATTCCTTCTATAAGGTGTGGACATAATACCCCTTTTGTGAGCTGCTGTTCTCACCAGGTTCCTCTGTAAATTGGAAACTCTTTGGGATCAAACCTGAAGTTCTGCAGAAATGTTGGTCAATTTTGGGAGGGAAGGAAAGGAAATGATGAGCCTATGGGGTCCTTGCAGGACTTTTGGACGCTTCTCTTACCACCACTTTCATATTAAATGTTCCTGTAGGTTTAAGTGTGATTTCTATCTACCCAGACTGATGTCAGGTAGCATCTGTGTCAATGCTTCATTTCCATCTGTACAGCTACTCCTGAACAGCAGTTTGCCAGGAGATGGCAGTGAATGACCAGTTTGTACAGCGTGACCAGCAGACAGAACCGCAAAGTGTTGGGGTGCCCCTAGGAGGTCAGGTGTGCGTAGGGTGTCCTGTGGTGGTCAGTAGGTCTTGGCAGACTTGGAAGGTCAAAGAGCACATTCTTGCCTTCCAGTATGGGGGAAAAAGAGGTGTGACTGCTGATTTCTGAGAGTCCCAACCGTACTTGTGCATGTGTAAAAAGCATCAGCAAGGCAATTAAAATAAAGACAGAAAATAATAACTGTCGAGTGTGACCTGGATCATATGTTTTTAGGGTATGCATGCATCCAATATTAATATCAAATGTCTTTAAAGAGGAATGGAAACCTAATGACATGTATTATTAATGAATAGGCTTCCAACTGTTTTGCGTAGCTGATAGACCTGTAGATCACCAGTGCTTCACTCCAGCAGAGGCTTCCTAAGAAGTCTCAGCTCACCTCGGGCAGTGAGGGCCTCCTGTTTGACTTCCCATCAGGGTGTTGCTGCTGGTGATGTTTGCAAGGCCATTGCAGAGCCTGCAGGACAGATGTTGCTTCAGAGTCCTGCATCGCTTCTCTGTTGGGCATCAAAGATCTCCAGGAAACTGGTTGTCTGGAGACACACTACCATCACACACAGTAAAGGTGTATTTCAGAGGGATGTTGTTTGTGAATAACAGGTGTATTTTTGAGATAAATCATAAAGCAGATAAAGATTGGCTCCTTGCTATATAGCAGAAAATCCATACACAAAAAAGCTTGGTCACTGGATATGTCCTAACGGGCTTCCTCAGTTAAAGTTCGTCACAGTAATTGATTGTAAGACAAATCTGTAAAAATTACTAGTCTTACTAGTTAGTGTTTTGATTCAAAGGCTTCTTGTCAGGTGTCCTTCAGAGCTGCAAGATGCTTGCCAAGGACTTCACTAATGTTGCCAGTTGCAATTTTGGCTCATAAAGTTTTTGATGTGGGGCATCATGCAGCTTTTTTTTGACTTATATTTCAACACGTTTCTCTTTTTTCAGCAAAATGGAAGATTTGGCCTTTGGATATAGAATCCTTCAGTCTTCAATATTAACTGGTGCTTTGAGTGAACTTCCAATAGATTTATATGAATCCAATGATGCCCATAGCTTGAGAAGGCATAGAAGTGTGTATGGTTGGGAAGTGGATTGTAGGGAATAATACTGTGGTTGGTATTCAGGTGTTCTTGTGGGGTTTTTTGTTTGTTTGTTTTTATTCTTTCCTTTTGAAATGGCAGGGAAGTAGGTATCTGCCTGGAGGAAATTGAGGGTAAGAGAGTTATTTTTACTTTAAACTCTTCTAATTGCAGAAAAAAAACTTGAACTTTATTACTTGCCTGTTTGAAAATTACCTGTTGTATTTTCACTTAAGGAAGAATCTACACCAGTTCACAAGGAAGAAGGTATGTGGCAGCGATGTTCATTGCAACACTTGAGTGTACCTCATCTAGGAGAAATCTCTGCTTAAGACAAGCAGAAAAAGAATACTAATTTTTATTAACAAATCTTAGTCTAGCCAAGTCAAATTACTCTAGCAACAAGTCTTCCTTTTTAATATATATTTAGTAAACGGTGCAGACCATGAGGTCAAGCTTCATTAGGATTTTAGCATTTTATCGATTGGCACATGGATGTGGTTGAAATGGTACAACTCTGTTTTACTGTTAGTTAAAAAAAAGCAGATGGTTCCTTTCAGTAAGAAAAAACAGTCCATAATAAAGTGTAAGTAATAACAGTGAATGATACCAAGAAGCAATTTAACTCTGTTAGATGTAAAATGTTTTGTGGATGTTAGAACATGCCTCTCTTCCAATTACATCAATGTGTAGGGTGTTATTTTTCACTGCAGACCTTGCCTTGCTTCCTTTAAATTTATTTATTGATGCAACTGCATAGCTTAAAGGATCAAATAAGTTAAAACTGTTAATAATTTATAAGCAGACAAGCTTTTACTGTATATCATATGTATTACTGTGCATATTATGTCACTAATCGTTGGGGGTTTTTTTCCTGTTGGTTGTAACCATTTTTGTAACCAGCAAAGACAACACTAGTACAAAATTGCATTTGGAGGATGAGAATGGCTTCTTTTCCTCTGCTTTCCTCCCCCACTGCCCATGAACATACATAAATTCCTGAATATTGAAAGAAGTGGTTTGCTTCCTCATGGTTTCAAAGTCTGTCTCCACTAGATTCTCTGGTTCCCTGCTCTCCTGCTGTGCTTCCCAGAGTCATATGGTCCCTTAGATCCTTCACCAGCCTCCATGGCCATGGTGGTTGATACAGCATGTTGCCTTGGGTAAGCTTCTGTTTTCTCTGGCAGAAGAGGGATTTAATTGCACCTTCTGTTAATCTAAAGGTGTTTGGCAGGCTTCTGGGCTTTAAGTTGTTCTTTAACTATTCACAGATCAAAAGTCGGGCTGACAACAGCTGTTAATACCTGCTTTCCAGCCTAATAGTAAATACATTTAATTTCACAAAACAAACAACTCTGTGAGGTCAACTTTGATACTTGCATCTTAGTAACTTTCCCAGTATGCTGCCTGTCCTGCACCTGCAATGTACAGGCTTTTATCCCTTAAATGTCTTGCTACTTTTTCATGTGAACTGTAAAAAAAAAGCTGTATGTGGAGAAAAGCAAGGAAAAAAGGACAAAAAATAATAGTCATGTTCCAATTGCAGACCTGGAGAGTGAACTGAATTTCATCCCAGTAGTTTTACTGTAATAACTTCTTTCAGACTTGGCAGAGTTGTACCTGAGTGCTTTTTTTTCCCCCTCTTATCCTAATTAAGGATATTTGTGACTGCAGCTTGTCACACTGGTGTGACCCATCCAGTAGCTGGGGGGGTGATAAGAAAGAGTAGAGCACGGGGACTCAATAGTAGACAAGTTTTACCTTCTTACTCCCTTCAGTTGTTAGAGCATCTCCTACCCACTATCGTGATGCTTGATGATGCTTATGGAAAGGAAGATCTGGAAGAATACACTTCTGTCTGACTTGGCTCATTTGGCTGACATGCCAAAAATCTAGAGGAAGGAGCTGGATCCTGTTTTAAAAGGCTGAGGCTTTTGTCTACCTTGATGTTATGGTCAGGAGTCGCACAGATTTCAAGCAACTGACACCAGACTAGGTAGAAATCTGGCTTTTACCCTCCTCGTAGGCTTGTTGAGTAACCTCCGGTGTCTCCTACTGAGTGCCTAAGTTCCAGATGGATGAATTTCTGGAGAGAATGTTTTAGCAAATACTGCAAGTAAAACTGAATAGACCTTTCCAATTTAACGCTATTACTGTCTTCTAGGAAGAGACTCTTTGCCTATTCCAAGTATTTGTTTCTGGGCCATAGTTCAAGGTTGTTGCTCCTGCTGAGAGGAGAACACGAGGTACTTGACTGAAACTGCCCTGGTCACAGTTGGAGAAGTGATGGCCTTTCCCTTTTCTCACCTAGTAAACTGATGCTTGACAGGTTTTTTTTGGGTCATGGGTATCTACCTTTTAAAAGATGAATTAGTGGAGCCAGTACCTGAAATAACCTCTCAGCAGTAATGAGAAGTCATCTTTATAGGTCATAATGCACATCATCCTGCTCTTTTCCTGCGTGGCTTTTTATTTAGGAATATTGACCCTCTTTGAATTAGTTGCGTTGTCTAAAAACCAGAAACCACAATTTACAAAGTTTTTTTGCTAAACTTGTTCATCTTGGAGCCAAGTGATACTCTGATTCAGATGGAAAGGGTGCTCTTGGCAGACCTGGTGCTTGATGGCGATGTGACTCTGCAGGGACCCCAGGTTTGTCTCCTGCAGTTCTACAGCCCTGGTGCTGCTCAGGGCTGCTTAAACCAAATAAATGAGGAATATGAAGGGCCTGAGCGTTCTGCCAGCTCTCTGGCTCTAACAGCAGGGTTGTTCTTTTAGTACTTATAACATCTTCAAGTGCGGCACTGGCTCAGAAGATCAGTTTGAAGAAGTGAGCTCGGGCAACTTCCCTTCTTTGCTTCAAGGAACTGACTGATAACACTCAAAGCCAGAGCAAGGCACTGCCCTCCCTGGTGGTGCGTGGAAGGCAGATGGGGAACAAGTTCCTTCAGGCAAGAGCCAGAAACCCCACCCTCTGGCAAGCTTGATTTAACACAAGAAAGCATCTCAGTAAAAGATAAGACACTTTAAAGAACCGAAGTGAAAATTTTTAAAAAATTTATTCCCTCGATTTTATTTACAATAATTACAGACTACTGTACAAAGGTGTAAATGGTCTTTGCTGTGAGTTGTGCATATGCAGCTTAGTAGACAGGTTTAACATTCAATTTGAATCTCAGTGCAAGTAGGCACGAAAACATCCAACATACCTCCAAGGTATAAAAAGACATACCAGTTTTACAGGTTTCTCCAGCATATTGTGTTACAGTGCAAAATGCTATGAAATAAGGTTTCTTTAGAAAATTCGTATAAATTAAACACATATTGCACTTGTCCCAACCAAAAGTGTAACAGTTTGTACTTACTGAACTAGTTTGATACGTTTTAAAACACTCCTCACACACGTGCACTCCTTCTTCCTGGCTATTTGTGCCAAATATGTGTAGTTCTTATGCCAAATCTTAAATAACTGTTGATAGCTCTTTGACTAATGCAATCCCTCTTGAACAGACTGCTAAAAGAAAATCACAGCGGATTGAGGTGAAAATAAAATTCTCCAAAACCCTTTTCAGTCTTTCTTTTTTTTTTTTCAATAGCACTGTAACTGAATACATTAAAATCAGTGTTGTTTAGATTCAGAATGCAAGTGTATCAAACACCAACCATTTCAGACACTTACACCCCTATTTTCTGGAAAGGTATGAAACCTCCAGTTCTAAAGATGTAGGTATTTCTACAGTACTTGAAGCTGCTAAGCTGACATTGCACCCACGAACACATTGTGCAATACCACAGGGTAGGACTTTGACTTCTGTACATCACTGGCTGCTATGGGACACATTGGGAGAAGTGGGTGGAAAATTGCATTAACTTCAGAGAACAAAGTCTACTTGGGCTGAACCTAGTCAATACGATCTGTGCACCCACCAAATGAGAAACAAGAGGTGAAGGCAAATAACATCGATCTTACCTAAATTTGAGTTTCCCTAAAAACAAGCCTTGAGATTTAAAGGAACAAGTGCATATGAGTGCAGATGCTGACTTTGTGCTCAAGACATTTATTCAAAGCTGAAAGGTAAGGGAGTAGCTTAGGAACAAATCATATTTATTTTTTTTGTTTGTTTAGCAAACCAGTATGAGCAAAGTTGCTACGAAAACCACTGACATAGAAAAGCAGAGGAAAAGCAAAGAGACATGGCTAGCTGAACACCAGTGCGTGTCTTAAAACAGTTCAGGGTTACCTGCAAAACGCCTCCAACATTCACTTTCCTCCCCCTACTTCCCTTCAGAGGACTAGACTTACTCCTCTTACATGCAAAAAAAAGCACTTCTTTTCTGAAAACCTTTCCACATCCAACTCAACTCAGTCATTCAGAACATGAGTGGAAGAAAACCTGATTTCTGGTACTACGACATTCTCCAGATCCTCTTCTGGAGCCGCAACTACAGTACTTTCTAAAGGCAGGTCCCCGTCTTACTTGGATACTACTAGATATGAAGTCCTGAATAAAAGGCAATATGCTGTTTATACAAGTAGTGAGATGAAATCCTAACCTGACACACAGGAATTCTTTGTACAGAGAGCATACATTTACACCACTTGTGTGGGTCAAGTGTTTAGTCTAAAACAAAGCCCAACCAGCCAGGCGTTGCATCAGGAGAACCAAGAGCTCGGGTTCACAAACTGGAAGGCTGCTGGATTACCGGACCTGGTTCACATTCCCGAAGGTTGTCTTCTGACCTCATGTACATTAGGAAGACAGTGACAGTAGCAAAGGTAGCTGCGTTGACAGGAAAAGCACGGAGAAGCGTGGAAGTCAGACCTCTTGTGAACACCCTCCAGCCTTCTTCATGGTAACTCTTTCTGACGCAGTCTAAAATGCCCTTGTATTGCGTGACACCTCCGACTCCATCGGCCTGAAGCCGGGATTTGATCACATCCATGGGATAGGTGGAGAGCCAGGACACGATTCCTGACATCCCCCCAGAAAACAGCAGTTTGGGAATAACGTAACTGTCTTCAGCTTCGCAGCCCAAATACCTGGTCATGCAGTCATAGGTCAGGAAGTAAAAGCCGAAGCTCGGAGTCTCTCTTATGAACGTAGAGACCATGCCCCTGTTGATCCCCCTCAGCCCCTCCTTTCGGTAGATTTTGATCAAACAATCCAGAGAGTTTTTGTAGTTCTTCGTTTTCAGTTTGTATTCACCTGTTCCTTGGAGCTGCATTCTTGTCTTGGCCAGCTCCATGGGGCAGCAGATGATGCACTGGATAGCCCCTGCTGCCGACCCCGCAAGGAACTGGTTCAGAGGAGTGTCTTTTCCAAGAGCACGAAGTGTGTTTCCTTGCACACCGAACACGAGCGCGTTAATGAAGGTCAGTCCCATCATTGGTGACCCAATACCTTTATAGAGTCCAAAAGCCTAATGGAGGAAGGAAGGAAAAACCCATTTTAACACCATCTTGCTCCGTAATAACAATTTCATCACCGCCTAGGACACAAACATCTAAACATTTGTAGCAGTACCAATACGTAGTTGAACACATCCAGAAAATACTCTTAGTCCATCTAGAGGAAAGTTTCCTGGTAAAATTTGTATTTTTTTTAAGTAGCTAAGAGCCTAAAGCACCCTTTTACTTATGATCTTAAAACTTCAGTGGAAAAACAAATCTCACTGAATTCTTCATTCATTGCTCAGATTACTTGGATTCTGGGAAAATTAGCTAGTCAAATAACTCATTATTTAAAAAGTTAACTTCAAATTATCAACTTCCGACTTAGTGATCTTCCTTCAAACTTCTGACTACAGTATCTGCCCTATGGTCAGGTCAGGTTCACAGTATGTTTATCTCTTGATCTTCAATATTTGTAGGGTTTTTTAAGAGCTTTCCTACCCTTCCGATTCAAAATACACCAAGATACAAAATACACAAAGCATTCATTTTGTACTTACAGATTCTTGCTTTATGATGGACTGAAAGCAATGGAAGGTCCCACGGTAGAGAGGTTTCTCTACATTTTGAACTTGTAGACGAACCTATAAAAAGTTGTATGAGATACTGATTCGTATGTCAAGAGCAGCCTAATTGATAAACTACTGTCTTGTACCTATATGGAGATTTGCTACAGCAATGTATATGCAAGAGCACAAGCTGGACACTGGAATGCCACATGTGGCAAAATAATTTTAAAATATTCTGTGTTTTGAATTAATTTTGGGGGTGAAAACACGAAGGGAGGAGGATTATTAATTTCTTGCAAATATTAGAAAAACAGTATGTGAAAGCACAACAGGGTACACTGTTATCTAGAATTTCAGGTGGAAGTTTTCCAGTTCTGGTTACAATAAGTACTTTCTTTAGCTGCCAAGAATACTTCTGTTCACACTAAGGAGTATCTGTAAAAACCTGATAGCATTTTATAAAAAAATATTTACAAGTCAAGCATGAAATAAGGATAATTTTAAAAGGATGGAGACTTTCAACAATTTCTGGCCACCAGACTTGGGTCCCTTCATTGAGATTTGATATATTTTTTTCAGAGGGTAGCTGGGAAGTGACTCTTAAGGCGTCTTACTTGGCATAAGGAAAGGAATAAAAACCCACTTTTTTTTTTTTAACCTGCTGAACACAAACAATTTGTGAGGGTGTGGCTGTTTCAAATCTTTAATGTTAGTAATCAGTTAACTTTTCCACAGCTGAAAGCATATGTTCAGCTGGACAGACAGGTGCTACTGTAACTGGTGACATTAGGAGACAGGCCCTTTTTCTTTGGTGTTTTTTAACCATTAATGGGAAACTCCAATTCTGTTTTTTCCTGCTGATTTGTCACACTTAAACCAAAAAGAATAAAAGTCTGAAAGCTACCTAGATCATGCAAAGTCCTACGCTGCAATAAACTCAGTGAATTGGTGACGTTAGGAATTTGTCTTTGATCTCCAGCATGGAGGGTGCGATGTTCCTCAGAAAAGATGCTTATCAACCATTTAATGCTGCTGCTGCAACTCCAGGGCAAAAAAAACCCCTTATTATTCTGAATAAAATAAAAGATTATCAGGTCTGTGTGCAAGATTCCTGACTTTAAAATTCTTTTTATCAATGTTTGCCTAAAGTAATAATAAACACCACCACAACAGGATGTGGGGCTAAAAGAGGATCTGGGGACATGGCTTGTCAAAATTCTATATTCAGGTTAGCCTTCTCTGAGGCTAAACCTAAATTATTTACAGTTTCAATATTTGTTTATGTTACTACGATGTGTCATTTTGTGCTTTGTAAATAAAAACTTGAGTGTTCAGTGTCCTTTTAGTACACACATTAGTGTATGCTAGGCAGACTGGGAGGCTGAGATCACCTCACGTCTTCTAAGGTGGAACGGGGTTTTAAAACATCTTAGCTTTAAAAGTGGGCTTATGGTAGGATTTAAAGAAAATAAATCCTTTGTTACTCAAAGTGACTTTTTTGGGGGGTAGGCAGATTGCTTGTGGGTCTACTTCTTAAGCAGTTTTAAGAGTCATAAATCTCAACAAGCTGTCAGAATTGCACAAAAAGAAGATTTTACTGCTATTGTTTCAAGACCCATCTGTGAAGTCAGGGGACTTCCACACATACAGGCTCCAGGAGAACTGCAGCTTAGGATACTTTAACTTTTCGATACACTTGTCTTCAGTAGTTTAGAATTAGTCCAATTCTATATATTGGTTGAAGTTCCTAGTGGCATACAGCTCCCACTGGTTTTGTCCAAACGATTTGTGAAATATTGGCTGATTTAAGCCTCGTTGTAGGACACAGAGTACTAATAGTCTGGGCCTAAAGGTGAGAAATGGCTCTTTGATTCGAGCACAGTGCTGACCACACAGGGGTACACGTGGTAGCAAACTGCCAGGCAAGGCAATGAATGCATATGAAACTTTATTTCATGGGTGTTCAACAAGCACCTTAAGTGTGTGTAATGACAGGAAGGATGAATCATCCTTCATCATCAAGTTTAACCCTCTGTTCTATTCATTGCCCAATAGTCATGCTTCCTTCTTACTTGAAGCCACTGTTACTGAGGTTTTAGGTCCAATAGTAACACACTGTAATTTCAGATTTCAAATGACTTGCATTAAAGGTACTCAAGACTAAGCAAAAAAAACCCAAACCACCACACCCCCAAAACAGTCCAAACATTTAATTGTGTGCAAAATAACTGATTTAGAAGGGTTTGAGCAAATGAAAAATGTCCTCCAAGGATATGAAGTGCATAAGACCTCAACAACAGTGTGCCTGAGATTCAGTTTTAGAGCCACTGTGTGTACAGCCAGAAATACATACCAGAAAGAAGGTTCAGAATAAGGCTTTACATTTAAAAAAAAAAAAAAAAGGGATATTTAAACCCCGCTCCCTCCATGCCATAGCTGTAGAAGAGGGACACATCAGTTTAAAACTAAAAAGGGAAAAAAAGCTTCATAAGTCTTTTAGATCTTTATGTGAACTAATACATTTGGGAATAAATTAAGACTGAGAGAAACAGAAGTGTTCACCTGGGCTATACTTACTAGGTAACTCTCCCGTGATGAGGCTTATCTGTCATCTACAACAAAGTAACACTTTTGCTGTTAATGAAGACAGCCCCTAGCTCAGAAAGTAAAGGCAGTTAAAAGCAAAAAAGCAATTTTATACATTACATCAACAAACCAGGGATAAGGAGTTTGCCAGTTCTGAGATCAGCTCAGCGGTGGGTTTCGCAGGGTGACTTCACCAGCTTAACCTCTCCCTGTGTGTCCCACCATCCCCCTCCCCGCCTTGTGAAACATGATCACCGGCCAAAAAAAAATAAAAAAAAGCTTAAAAGCCAAAGTAAAATTCTGGCTTATCTGAGCAGCTTTCCCATTGTTCAGTTACATTAAAAACTTACAGTCTAAGGCGACTACCAGCTAGCCTTTTAAACACTGCGATACTATAAAAAGGTTAATTCTTAATACATATACATACACAACAAGTTATGCAATGTCTTTTTCTTTTTTTTTTTTTAAGGCTGATTATAGTGTTAGTTTTCCCACATACAGTGGTGACTAATAACATAAACATCAGTATTTGACAAAAAAAAAAATAAATAGATAAATGCTTATACCACCTAATGGGTATAAAAATCTAGTATGCCACACTGGATTTCATAAAACATATAAAGGCATCCAGAAACAAACTGGTTTGCTCTATTGTAAAGCAAGATGCTTTTTCTAAAGCCAGCACGTCTATTTCGCATTAATACATCAACTAGAACTAGCACAGGAGCCCCAGTTTTGCAGACACTTAAATATTTAGTTTCATGCACTAAAAGCTGTTCCACTTGAAAACCAAAAACACCCCACACATAATTAACTTTAGTCTGAGCGTAGAATATTAACAGTTTTACTGGCTTCAGTGAAATGACCCATCACCTTAAGTTAAGCATGTAAAACTTGGCAGGATGGGGGTGAGAGAAAGAGACAGCTGGCCCATCACTACTATAAAAAAATGTGCAAGTCTGGATAATACTATTCCCGAAAATATAGACTAGAATTCAACTCAATTACTTAACAGGCAAATTTACCATAATCTGAGAAACATTACATTCAGTTTTTACTGTTTGAGCAGCTTGCACTTGACTGGCAAGGATTAATATCCACTAGCTGGGAAAAATCTGTATTGAATTAACCACGTGCTGGAATACAGAATATGGTGATGACCTCGGTAACACTATCAGCCCTTTGCATATCTAAATTCAGCGAGGTGGAGGTATTCCAAATATAGCTCCAGCGGGTGGCATGCTGTCTGCTGCAGTCAACTGATCTGCTGTGTTAGTTTAGCTGGGAATATACTGGCATCCCCCTCTCCTATTCTTCCAGCGTGGGGCTTTGGATAAGGCTGCCAAAAAGCGACTTAAGTCGATCATCACATTCTGAAACACGGGCATGGACCCCTGGGAGTCCTGGCTGAAGGCCCTCCCGATTTCAGATTTTATCTGAACAAGCTTTACTACCCTCAGTATGCACAATACATACAGCTCAGCCACTATCAGGAAACCAATTTTCACTTGGAAAGTTATAAGAATATATAATACTACTTAAAGGGAGGAAAAAAAGTCCCCAGACAAGCTTCGTGCTGTGGATTTTTATCCAGTTAGACCCTGTGGCTAGTGTAACAAATTAATGCTGGAGGAGTTAAGTAGCAGAGCTTGAGGGGCAAACAAAACACAAATTTTCAACCTAGTAACAAAGTAAATTTGATTTACAAATGCAGGAAGATGCAGTTTTATCAGTTAGCGATGAACAGCCACAGAGAAGCAAGCTCAGGACAAAAATAAGTTAAATCTAAGATCGTATTTTCATATACAACATTGTTACTGCACTGATGAAGGCACAGCTTAGGCCAATGTTTGTCATGTTACTGGGTTGAATCACACATACAAAGAATTTTTTTCATTTCTGAAGAAAGAGCTGGAGATTGCAAATCTATACACAGTGGTTGAGGAGTCTTGCTCCAAGCTTTCCAGCACAGATTTATGCTCCTACAGTGTCTGGGGAATTTATTATTATTTTTTTTCCTCCCCTACTCCTGGGAAAAACTTCGAAGTTTTCTATCTAGAGACAAAGGTATTTTATAATCAACCCACCTTAACAGTGTCAAATGGGTGTCCTACCAGCACTCCTGCAGCACCTGAAACAAAACAAACGCCATGGTTATGCCTCATAGTTTTCTTCTTGGGCTACAGCAGCCCAAACACCACCACCAGCCTGAGGTCTAAGTGCAGCTAAAGCGTGAGGTGGCTGAAGAGCATCCTCTCCAGTCAGAAGGTAAGGGATCTACAGTTGAGGCCAGTACTAGGTGCCTTTATGGCCCCATCAAGGCTTCTGAGCCCCAGGTGGGGGTCGAGGTGTGTGCCTACAGAGCGTGCCACGTCACACGGGACGTTCAGCAGTGATTCCTGGCCTCAGCCCAAGGCAAGTCCAGCGGGCAGAAATTGTGGATTTCCTCCAAAGCAAAATGTGCCATGGATGTGCCACTCTGGGGAGGCAGAAAAAACCTGAAGGCAGAAGAAAACCTACAGGCAGAAGAAAATTCCTGCTCTCTGCCCCCAGCCTTTCCAGATGCGATGGTAGCACCTGCAGAATTATCCATGCATTACCAAAAGCTTTTGCTTTATTCTAGTGTCTAGGGACTTTTTTAGTTATACTAATCTGACTAGATGCATTTTGCACTGAAAAAAAACTTAAGTACTGGCCGAAGCAATGGATCCTCTCAGCTCCCTACTTCTGTGACCAGAACTGGAAGTTCAATCCATTTCTGGCCACCAGCAGCAAGAGCTACGAGTGCTTCGGTGCACCTTCTTCCCACACCGAGGAGAAGTGGTGGCAGAAACACAAGGCTGCTCTAGGATGGAGCAGTCCGGGTTGTTTCAAGGCCAAAAAGGTGGCAAGACAGTCCCAGTCACAAAAATAACAACGTGCCAAGACCAGTGGCACAACCAATCGTGCGGGATCACGGGGGTCACTGGGATGGAGTCAGAGAGAAGCTTGGAGGTGAAGGGGGGTGGGAAGAAAGAGGGAAGAGAATAAATCATAAAAATCTCTTTGCCAGGCTGGCAAGGAGAAGAGCAAACAACTGAAGAGACGCGAGAAGAAATCTCCCAAACACAATTTAACAATGGCTAAAAATAGAAGGCGGCAGGCCGTAAGCAGATGCTCGGGGAAGAGCCAGGCGAGCATACGTAGCCTCTCCTCCTCCTCCTCCTCACGCTCAAACCCTCCGCTATCAATATTTTTTCCATTCGGAGGGGTCCCCGAGCCTGATACCCCCCGAAGGAGCTCTCTCTCCCCCCATCCCCTTGGGCCAACCCCCGCCGCTGCGACACCGCCACGGGGAAGGATGGCCCTCACCCCGTCCCCGCCGCTAATTTCCCCTCGG